AGCTCTACTTGTGCCACCTGTTTATGAAGGTCATGTTCCATCACCTCTGTGCACGTGACAAATATGTGCGAACTTCTAGCATGTTGAGATGGTAGGTGTGTGGTGGATGAGGCTAGTGTACAGGAATCAAGAGAGGGGGTTACATTTTCCACCTTAATGGTGGCAGCCTCTCTTTTAGCTTGTAATTTGGCCATGAATATCCAACCGTGGTTGACTTTGCATGATAGCCCATGGTAGACATTTTAGCATTATACAAAGCACCGCCTGTGTAAACCTGGGTAGGGAGAACCTTTACCTTTACTTTGATTTATTTAATGTATTTTCATTACTTTCTGATGTTTTGTAGTTATTAGAACTTTTAAATTTGTAGTTATTTTAGTCGCTTTATTTTACACTATTTTTACCTTACTGTATCCACAGCAGATTACAGTTCCGTAATAAACTATTATTATACTGTGTGTGAATGCATTGCATTATAGCATTATGAACAAAAAAAACATTCGGTACTTAAACCGTCGCCTCACACTGCATGTTATTGTATCCTAACGACCCATGTTAAAAGAAACTGCATGATAGCCCACTTTAAGGCCTAAAGCTATAACGCATGCATTATATGAATCAGAGTTACATTATAGCATTATAGGCCAGGCTGCATTATAGCATTATAGGCCAGGCTGCATTATAGCATTATAGGCCAGGCTGCATTATAGCATAGAGTGCATGGAAGCTATAACGCATGCATTACAAATGTATAGGTATTTTAGCATTATAGCATATGGTGATTCTAACAACATCACGATTTATTGTCTGCCCTGGTCATGACCACCATCCCTTGAGCAGACAACAAATCGTGATAATGCCCTCGCAAACATGTGTCATTGTTTAACTGTTGGTCATGGCTGAATTTGGCAAGTTGAATTCCAGCTACTTGCTCTAATGTTTCTTACTTTCCCTCGAGTTTAGTCTTTTCTTGTTCACGTTTAACTGCTCGTGCGTCCTTTAATGTATATTAAGCGGCCACCCAATCCTCAATCAAACTTCTCTCCAGTTAAGCCCCTTCCACTGGTTTTGTAAATCGACAACTGCCAGATTGTTTAATATGTTTGCCAATTGCAGGCGATTTATCTATTTTAGAAACTGTAATTACTAGAACGATAATTAGCACAGGGAAATTCAAATCCCCACAAACTGCTTTTACAGACGAATTACTAACTATTGTGTCCTTAGAATTGTAACCAATATATGCGTAAGTGTAACTAGTTCATATAATTGTGTATGTAGCACAAAGTCTTTTTTTTAACTTTTTAGAAAAAAACGTAATTCATATGAGTGGCCCATCACGCATACTTGTTCTCGGGACTTCAACCCTAAATTCCATAACACTTTCTAAATGTAATTATTTTAATTGGTGTAATTCCCCGGGTACCTTACTTATCACTCTTTTCTAGCCGTCTATGCACACCGCTCGGTAACCATTGACACAAGTCAAAAACAATTACTTGCTAATCAATTTTCTAAGTAAGAAAAAACATTAACATGCATGGCATACGCCAGCTTTATCATATGATAAATGCACATACCACTTTCAAGAAAAATTACGTGTCACTGCAATAAATTGCATGATCGATGATGAATGCAAGCCAATTAAGTCGTGGCGTAACATGTATGGGTGCTTTATTCAAGTGTCATCAATAACATTACGCAATTTACTAACCACGTCTTCTGTAGGTGAACGGCCATCTTGTTGCCTGTTTCCTTCAAGTTCTATGCGTAACAACATCCTCGGACTTTATTTTTTTAAATTCCTTTAAACTTCCACATCTGCTTGGAATTCAAGTACACAAATAATTGCGACGGTGTCTCGGAGCACTTCGATGTGTCTTGAACAAGATCTATATTTGGGTTTAGCGTTTGGTTTGTTTTTTTATTTGGCGGTGTGTCAGACGTGCTGCAAATATTAGACTGGACAATAGCAACACCGTCTATTTTATTAGTCTTACATAAAATGGTCCAAATCAGAAACCTGTGATAGAGAAACAAAAAAAAAGTTGCTTAAATACGATGTATACCACCCCTCTATCACTGATTCACAGAGGAGATACTGAATTGTTCGAGTTACGGACACGGAGTTACGAAAATATCGAGCTACAAAAATGACCATGCCAATATTTCAGAAGCCAAGCCCACTTTTGCAAAACCATGCCCAAATTGATGTGCAACTGACAATTAACAGAATTAAAGTTACGGGCAACATACTTTTTTTGTTTTTTTGTTGGATGTCTAAATTTAATCAACAGTTAACCGTGCTTATTGGTATATGGAACGCTGGTGGTAAGTTGCGCGAATGAGTTCGAAATTCGCTAGTATATAAAATTAAAGATTTTGGAAACTGACATTACAAATATTCGGCAGCTTTATTGACACAACGACGAAAATTAAAAACTCTAACTTAATCTAGATGACGAAATTGACGATAACTTCCGTAAAAACAGTTTCGATGTTGTTTCAAAAATTTAATTAAACTTTGTTTTGACAGTAGTCTGCTCAGTTTAAACATCCGTACTGTCGAGAATTCACTGGGAAAGTTCACTTGGCACTCTCCAATCGGGTAGAAGCACAAATATATTACGCAATATCGTCAACACTTTAAAATAAAAGATATAACCCATATTTCAGAGAAGTCGATAGAACAGTTGTGGTGCCTCGGGTAATGCTGTATCTTCTGAACAATGACACATTGCGTAAACAAACAGAAATATTTAATAGCACCTAATGAGTGGTTAACATTTTTGATAATTATTATTAAATCCACCTTGAAATGATAAAACAGATAAGACTGTTCTTAACAAATAATATCACTCATTAGCTAAAAAGAGTAGGAACACAACGCGATCAACAACACCGACATTATTGGACCAATCCTAAAAAAACGAAATTAAATAAAAAATAAACACATGAAAAAAAAGATAAATTATCCAATAAAATTGTTAAATATGGTAAATACTTCCCATAGGCGTATTATATAAACTCTTTCAATATATAAATACAAATCACACAATTTCCCACAATCATGGATTTCAGGTTTTAGGGCCAATTTAAACAAAATAAACCTCTCAAATTACAGAGGTATAGTCTTATTCATCTGTCTGGGTAAACTGTTTACTAGACGAGTACTAAATATATTGAATCAAGAGATAACAACATTCTTACACGATAACAGCATTTTATGGAAAAACACAGTATGCGCATTGCTTTAGAAAAGGTTGTCAAGCAACTGAAAATGTATTCACATTGAAAAGTACTAGTACTAGTCCCTGAGAGACTGTGGTATAAAAGTGAGTTTCTGAAAGAGCGAACATTAAATACTATAAGCAGACAAAGTATGCATGTATACTATATGCATGTTTGTGAATCCGGGCAAGGCTTTTGACAGTGTCCGACACGAATGCATGTTTATGAAATGATTAAAATATATGAATACAGGTGATATGCACACCATTATAATGAAAAGTATGTAAAGTAAAGTAAAAGTGAAAATCAATGGCGGATTAACAGACTCATTTCATTAAAACACGTGGGCCCAAAAAGGTTATAACTTGAGTCCAACTCTGTTCAATTTATTTATCATTAAATACAATTGATAAATTAATTATACCAATACGGGTATACAGATGTGATATGGGTAGACATGAGTTATAACCAATATGACATAGAAGATAGAACCACACATTTTACGATTCACTCTTATAATGGGGATATACTATGGAGAATTGGCTCAATTTCCAATAGATGTTTTCATCAAAAGACAAATGATTAAATAATATAACCGAGTAATGAACACATCAATTGAAACGGAATTGTGAAGGAAATACCATTATTAGGCAGACAACTAAATAGTAAATGTTATTGCGTAATAACTTCGTAATTAGATAAAAATAATGAAACACTATTAATCGACACACTCAGATAAAACTGGATAAAACTGGCAGGATAAAACTGAAGACATACAGATAATAATTATTGAAGAAAATGTTTAAAAATGAAAAACTATTAAAATTTAAGCGAGTCGATCTGTCGGTTCCGTTTAAGTAACCATGAGTTCAAAATCAAAACAGGGAGACATACTAAACAGAAATTACCAGCAGAAAAAAGAATCTTCAGTGCTTGCGCAACAAATATTGAAGTTGAATATGAACACTATTATTCGATCAGGAAAAGAATGAGAAAAAAAAAAGTGATTTCACATTTTTTTTTTTTAACCAAGAGAATTTCAATTTTCATAGGTGTTCATAGGTGTTGCATTTCTGTGATGTATTCACTGTATGTGTATTCGGGGTGTGTATGCAAATATTCGTCGTTAGAGCGCCACCAAAGTTCAATATCTCTCCTGGTCACGAAAAGATAAAAGTTATGTATTGTGCGCGTGGGGAGGGGATATTGCGTGATGGTATGGACATGGAAGGTACTTAAGGCATGGTATGGTACACAGTACCAGAACAAAAGAAATGCTCACACTTTCAGAGAAGTAGCCAGTGCAGTCATGGGAACAGTTAACTAATTGGTAAAGACATGAATACAATTACATGTAATGAGTTGGTTTGAAAAAAGAGAGAATTAAAAAAAAAAACGGTTTTCGTATTAAAAACTGTTTTTTTTTGTTTTAATATTTTCAGACTCGTAACACCCCGCGCATGGAGAATGGCCTCGACGTTAAATTGGGAGACCTGTAGTTTATACAACAATATAATAAACTGTTTATTTTGTCGCTTGTATGGAATCATCGCCAATAAAAAAGGTGTAAGCAGGAGATATGAGGTTCAACACCAAGTTCAATGCATGTGCATCACCGTCGATGGAGTGCCGGGAAACTGAAGAGGGACGCCTTTTGTTTATTTTGACAGCACGTTAAATGTCGCGTCTGTGATTGGTCAAGAAATGTAAACAAAATGGAGATGCGCAGATCGTGTCGATTTCTGTGCTCGACCTGGGCAGTCGCTCACTGCTGCTCGGTACTGACATCAATCCACGTTCCAGGCTTGTAGTCTCTCGTTTGGTGCCTTCGTTTGGCACGTTACCCCTCTGTTTAACACAGTAGGCTCGTTTGTCTGGAACCGGAAAAGTAAGGTACGTCTAATGATGAATATTATAGCGTGATTTCCGCCAATGATCAGTGACAGGGGCGCTCCGAATTATCGCCCGGTTCGCTCTACCCGGCCCCTTTGCCGTTCCATCGTCGAGTCGACGCAAATCTGTAGCTCGCCTGCAGGTTGTCTATCCATACTTATTGATTCGCTTAGAGAGATTCTATCGAGAGCTGTGACGATCAGTATTTGAAGATTTCCTAGTGTACGAATTATGCAATTTTCCCATAACGTCTGTCGCCAGCAAAAACAGGTTGCCAACTGCTGTTTATTTTTGATAGCCGTTTCCGTACAATAACATGTCATGTTACGGTAGATTTTTTGCTCTCTCTCTCTCTTCCGACATTTATAAATTTACCATATCACTGGGTGTTATTTTATTGTGCAGTGACACGATTTATCTTGATTTATGGCGTGTGGCAATATTTCTAATTTTTGTATTAACATCGTTGTTTTGTTTTGTCGACAGATCAGTCTAGTGAGTTCGATCTGGGGCATCCAATATTAAAGTCGATCTAGGACTGCCCTGCGCGAGTGGCCAAGGTCGATATTTGTCACTCGCCCGTGTGTGTTCACCACCTAAGTACTGCTACAGAGACGACGCCAGGTATATTATAAGACAAATCCCTGTGAATGGGAGGGTAAAGCGTTGGAATTCACTGTGCAGTGTAGCTTGAGGGCACACAACCCCTGGGGCAAGTTCCAAGGTTCCGTCAAGCATCCCCCCCCTAACTGCAGCAAGCACAAGGATCTTCACCACAACAATACCACCTTGACGATTGTATTTACACGGACTGTGTATGGTATACACGTAATAATTCAAGAACAAGTATCAAGAGCGATTATTTAGATGTGTCTTTTCATCTCTAACCCTCAAAACATCAAGATTTACCCAAAGTGTTGTGATCACTCACACCATCTTCTGTATCAATTTGGAATTAGATGTCACTTTAACAGCCATCACCACCACCACCTTGATATCTACTAGCTGCAGAATACCTTGGATTATTCATACACATTTCTTATTCTTTTTCGATTGTTGTTGCAATTTTTTTTTATTTATCTTAAATTCTTGTCAAGCTCACGCATATGCAATTGGATTAAGCAGAATCGGCAATATAAGGAACTATTTGAGCTGGAGTATATTCAAGCATGGCAAAATTATACGACTTTCAATGGCAGATAAACGTGCCGGATCATCTGAGGAATGGTGCATATTTTGATCGCTGGGATGAGGTAACTTTTAATCACACTCTTCCTTTTCCTTTAAGTAAATATTGAAATATTATTTTAAGGCATTTTTTTAAATTTAAATATTTAATCTACAAAGATAATTAGGGGTTCCCCATTTGAAAAAAGGGGGTGAGGGGTGGGGGGGGGGGTTAGTGAAAACTAATGTGCCCCTGGGTGAAGACAACAAATGTGAATGTGTAATGCAAAAGAATTTGTATAAATAAACAAATTGATGTCTAGTGTTCAAAATAAATGTGTTTAAAAAATTTGCAATAAAACAAAACAAATTCTTGCAGCCCACCCCCGGATTTTCAAATGAACAACCCCTTAGTCATTCTAAATAATGACAAGGCCAAATAACCAAATATGTTATCATGTCAGAATCTATTTGAGATGTACTATCCAAATTCAAGGATATGCAATGTTAGTAGCAGCTCATTGAATTTACCCGATATTGCACATAATTGAATTACAGAAAATGATATTTATCAGTAAGACCTCATGCCGTGCTATTGTTTCTTGCAAAAATTTAAAAAAACAAAACAATATGACATTTTATGATTGGCTGGGCTGGCCAATGCTGATTCCCTGGTCCAACATTATGCTGGCCGACTGTCAATGTCATTCCAAATGTTAAGCCAATGATGATGACACTTTGAGTTTATATTTAGCTTATTCCTTTATTAGGTAGTTGTAACAGCAGCTTTCTAATGACATCATGGAGTGAGATATCATTGGCATGACCTTGACCCACTTGCCCCCTTCCTAAATGACAAAGTTTGCCCAGACTTGATAATAGCTGGAATTAATTTTTGCTAAAAACTGACTGTTTTATATGGAGTTTGATTTAATTTAATTTGATTTGATTTGTATGGAGTTTAATTAATATCACTGATTTTTGATGAGCTGAGTGTAAATTATAGATTTATTTATTAATTTATTTCCAATGAAGGAATGAATTCCAGGAGAAAATAAAGTAATTTACAATCTGTGTAGTATATACAATGTACATATTTCGCACTAAGCCTTGTTGGAAAGTCACACTCACAGTGGGTGCTGCATTTTTCACTTTACAATCGAATGAAAGGTTCTTGAAACAAATATGTCATTGTGCCAGCACATATGTATTTATAAATCGCCCAGTATGGATGGTTTTCTCAAATTATAATCTTTAATTTGTTTTATATTTGTTTTTCTAAATGCAATTGGTTTCCCGACTAATGTCCCAATGATGAAGAGTGCTATTTAATTCTACTATCTCCATCATAACATTGACAATTGTGATTTATTTAACTGAGTGATAGTTGGAATAATTTATGAAATTTGAGCTAGTTCTAAAAAAAAGGTCCATGAAACAGGATCCCCATCTTTACAGTTATTGTAACAGAGGAAGCAATCACTCTCTATGTTATTGCTGCTTTTCTACTCATATACCTTAAAAATGTATTTTTTTAGCAAAAAAAAATGTTTATAATATTCCTGGTATTATATCAAATAATAAATAAAATTTACCTTCCATATTTATAAATAAAAAAAAAATTATTGTTCATTTCATGTTTGTGTTTTAACATAAATATTTTTGCTGAAAATATTATTATTCTCTAACGGAGTATTTTCTCCAATAGAATTGCACTCCAACCAAAATTTCTCGCATACTAAGTCATAAAAAATATGACGTAGGTGGTTTTGACCATAGACACACATAACACATTACATAAAGAAAATATAATATGTGATTATGCAAATTGGAATAATGACAATATTCCAGTGCTTTGGTCCACCAGTCTGTAAGGCACACCCCCCGGGTGTGGGGGTGTGTATGTGTGTTAAATAGATTTCAGTATTCAAATGGAACACGATGGTGATGTATCTGTTCTGAGTGCTTCATAAAATTATTCTTTTTGATAACCAGGATGTATGGAGTACTTTATTAAATATTCCATTGTATGAATTTTGAATATATGTACAATTTCAACGTTACTAGTTTGGCAATCAAGATTTAAACCTGAAATCTGACGAGAAGTCACGTTTTAAACAACCATACGAATCTTCAAATCTGTCAATCACTGGTTTGTTCAGGTCTAAGCGTGAGTCCGAACAGTTAGTGATAATACCCCTTTCAAGGTAGACATGGAGTACGTAATACATTAGCCGGCAGGATTAACACTTTCGGGAACATTTGTATACATAGCAAACAATGGGCAAATAACGTTTTTTTTTATGATGCACTAGTGCAATCCCTGGGATGGTTGAGCCGTGCTTTTACTTAGCGTGGGCGTGCAGTATGTCATTCACCACTGAATCAATAAGCAGTAGAAAATTAGCTGTTTCATGGTCATCCCTAATAAATATTGCATGATAGTAATATCAGGACTCCACTGCAGATAAGACACTATAATGTTTTCTTTATGGGTTAACTAGAGGAAGAATTGAGTTAACCATTAATACTAGTAATCCAATCCATCCAAGCCATTAGAAAAGCAATTGTAAAAAAAAAAAATAATGACTTCAACTGAAAGCATTTTTTGATTGGACAATATTATGAAATTAGGGCATCAGTTTATAATATGGCGTAATCACGTTATATATAAATTTGGCATTTCTGTCATTTTTCTGGTCCTGTAATCACGTTGTCCAATTTTTTTTTATGTCATTGTGAAAATGAGCCAGCGTTGCTATTTAATAAAACTCCAGTATTTGTCATAAACATGCGTTGATTATGCAGAAGAACTTATTACTATTTATATGTGTGCTTGTGTACAAAGATGTGCAAAAAGTAAAAGTATTGTGCTGGTAATCAGGTTCATTTTATTTTCAAACTTAAAAAAATCAATAATTTAGAAACGTATTACTTATTAGCTTGCTTTTATTTCCGTTGATCGCTAAATGCACGATATTAAAACCCAGTGAACCTGATGAACACTATCGATGTATGCAAACTACAAAATTGAAAATATCAAAACGCAAGGGAATAATTTCCCATTCTACGGTATGTAAAGGAAATGGAATAAATTCAGTAAATGCCAACGTGACCTAGTTTTCCCCTGAAATATAGTCTGCTATGAATGATACATCTCATCATTAAACAAGAAATTGAAATAAATTAATATTTAGCAAATAGCATTATTGCCTCGTTGTTGTTTTTCTACCCCATCACAAACCACTCTGTCAATTAATTATTCAAAATATTATTTTTTTAAATTGGCTTAAAATTTCTAATTTCAGGATACATGTTCGGTGGAAGCGCAGTGTCTCTACCAAGTCGACGAGCAGAGCTTCTTTATTAGGTGGAAAAGTGAAGCAAGAGTAAGTGTATTTTTCCTTATTTTTGTGCTCCACCAATTTTCCTCCCTCCCTCCCTCCCTCCCTCCAATTCAACAAATTTATCTTTTTAAATAGGACCTACAAAATTTTAGTCTTGTTTTAATGCGGTGATTGAATATTTGTTATTATGCTGTAAAATTTCTATTTATAAATATTTTTATTTTGATGTACCTGTTTCTTTTAAAAAAAAATTATTTCAGACCGTATATATATAGGTTCAATAATAAGCTCAATAGAGTGAAGTCTTTTTAACAACTAAAAATAAATCTTGAACCATACTATTTATGTCAAATTGTGACAGGGAAACCTCTGTCTGCGAATACATCATCATGAATTATTCTATGAATTTACCGTTTTTAGGTTTTGGGGCAAGATTTTATATTTTATTAAATTTGGTTGTCCTATGTTGTCATAGCAATAAAGGATGATGTTCCGATGATGAGTAATAACCAAGTGTAAGCACCAAAAGCTAAACTGTATAATTTTTAGTTATCTAATGCGAAAGTTGCAACACACAACATTACAAAATATGACACATTTCTGTATGTGGTATCACAGATTAAAAATAATTGATAAAGCATGATCATAACATTATTTGCATAGTTATTTAATCCATTTAATTTTCTGAATATGATTATAAATACTCAGGGTATTTATAATCATACCTAGAAAAATTAAATAGTAACTCCTGCTACTATGGTAATGGAATTTGTCTAAGTGGTCATTGTTATTTTAAATATTATGCATACCTGAAAATAAACATGATAAGTATGAAAATAAAACAGACCAAAAATGAGTGCTCAATTAACACATTGATGATCATGTCATTTTTTTTCCATTTGTTTCGGCTTTAAAAAACCCCCTCCAGCTTCAAAGGTTTTAAAATTTGAAAAACAGCCATTATAAATTCTCAATTTTCACACATTGTCATGGCAACAATGGATTACCTCAACTTACCGTACCACCATTTACATTAACCTGGACTTACATCTATGTATCTGTGTAAGTGTTGAGTGGCAATTCATTAATATTACCTTTGCCTTGTAAAAAATATTTTCAAAAACATAATTTGAAATAATATCAACTTGCCTCAACTTGTGATGTTTTAATATGACTTTATGTGAAAAAATATTATTTGAATATATTTTATCCTTTTTAATTTCGTACATACATATATTTTGAGCAAAAATTGTTAAATTAAATATTATTACGCTAACATAGGGGTGCTTAAATTACCCTGAAACCCTACACTATGGTGATGCAATTGTACATGTACATTCACCTGGATAGAAATATTTTATTATATATTTTTATTATTTTATTATTTATGCATTGTGCTAAACAATTTTATTTACAATACATTAGAAGTACGAAATGCAGAGGTGACTGTACTTTAAATATCACACATCATGAGACAGCATGATTATCATATTATCTGAGTTTAATTACCTTATTGAAAGGTGACACTGTCCCGTATAAACAACAGTCATTACCATAAATAAGTGAAACGGACATGATTACTGTTTTGTTATTCATGGCTTTTAAGCTAAAAATTGTGTTCCATGATTAAAACATGTTATCGAAACAGTGTCATCGATTGAAACGAGATTGCTAAAATACATACTAAGCTGCCGCCTTTTCTCATACGTAGCATTCAGATACAGATATAATTAATGAAATTTGCTATTCTATTAAATATTAAAATATAATCAAATACAATTGACCTATGCTGGCTATTGACAATCCTCAACGATAACACCACACAATTTTAATTTGTCTTTTAAGTGGTTTGTGAATTTTTTTACCTTACTAATAATATGTGTTCAATATATATATATACGCCGCCATCTTTTGTGGATCGGCAGTTATCAGACAGACAGACTGTTTCAGTGGTTCCATGCATGGCTCAGTTATTTTTAAGCTGAAATGAACATGTATATTGAAATATATTTGTCAAATTACCATTGCTATTAATCCCCCTCCAAATTCTGTATACTCTTGTAATAGCGAGGGCATTTTATATAAAAACATAATGTCTGCCATTTTTTTTCTCTTGATCCTTTGGAGATCAAGTTCCTGATGCTTACTACAGTTACGTGTATAATTTTTTGCTCACTTTGTATCAAGTACTCAGTTTGTAAAGATACCCAGTACTTAGAATGGAGCTCAGACAGTCACTGTTTGTACTTAAATAATAGGATTGGACACACAGTCATATATTCCTGTATGTGGGTGATATCCCACCCACCCCCTGCACCCAATGGGGGCGATATTACAACGCACCCAATAGGGGTAATAGTGATATTTATAGTGTGACCAAATTTAAACCTGATTATACCCAAAAGGGTTATTTAATTATGGTCAGTTTTCACTCCATCTACTTCTCAGGGGCACCACAGAGTGTATTCACACACATTTTAGGGTCACTAGGATAATAGTGTGATTACCAGTTCCATATATCAAACACAAAAAGTAGCTGCGTATTTGTAGATAGCTTATTCATTTAGTAATTTTTTATTTGAACTCCAAAAGTGAAGTATTTTAAGGTATTAATTAAACAACCTTTGCATGTTATATAACACTAAATGACATATCAGAACCTGTTAAATTAATACACATTTCCGTTATTGTAGTTATTAAATCTACCATGTTTCTGACATTTCTCTCTTGGACTAGTGTGACAGTTTCTCCTTAAAGGTCATCGATTTTGAAATGCATATTCACAAATTGTCCTGAACTTGTGTGACATTTAAGGTCGTTGATTTCATAGCGCATATTCACATTTTAGTGACGTGATGAAATCTGCGATTGCCCCACTCCACTAGGAACAGAGGTCAATTTAATAATTGTTATACTATTCAGCATTTTGTAGATTGTAGAAAATGATTCTGAGCAGTAGAGTTTTTATTCTATTTTTGAGTAAAACACATTTTTTGGGCTTTTCAATGATGGCTGAGTGTTTTTCCCTATTAGAATTTTCATAGAAAGCACTCTCCAGCAATTCCTTAATTTGCATCGGTGGTGCGTTTTTAGATTACCTTAATTGCCTTCATGAGTCAAAATACATTCAATGTATCGTTAGATTTTTGAATAATTTACACGCAATCCTCTTTGTAACCCTTGAATGAAACCTTTTAAGTTAGTGAACCCCTGTGTTTCCATTTTATTTTTCTGTGAGTCCAATTAGTTGCTGGAATTAGTGTTTTAATACCTTGTGACGTATATCCTGGTAACGCAGCTGAATATTTGTTTACTTCGGACTGTTACTGTCACAGGAAGAGGTGTTTTTTTTTCACCTATTAGTCATATGTTAAAATAATAAATTTACAACCATTAGCAGTCAACATCAGATAAATAGTCAAGTTAAAATGAGAAGTTTGAAATGGCATGCTTTATTTGGTTTGGGGGGGGGGTGTGTGTGGGGGGGGGGTAATTCAATTCAGATGATTTGTGTTGTACCAGGGTATTACATACTTTGTTACTTATTATTACAATGCAAATATTTTTGCTTCATTTACATAATTAAATATTAATGTATGTACATGTACAAATGTATATTGTGTAGATTAGAATGTTCTACTGATAAAACACAAAAATTGACGAAAAAAAATCTGTATTGCGTCCTTCATTTTTCCAATGACCTGTTTTTTGTCACTTTTATATAAACTATGCCAGTTGTGAACTAATGCATAAATTGGATCAAGACGCAGAGAAGAGTATTTATCATGTTTCCCTGGTTATGAATTTTATACACGAAAGTGCATTTCAGTTTAGAGATTACCAATTATGACAGGATGACTTAGTTGAGATTTTTTATTAGTTCCTGTTTTACTATTACGGTAGTTCAAAAACTGAGATTTATCAATCTGTGTTCCATCTGTGTGTCTGTCAAGAGCCATTTCATTCAAACTTGGTACAAAGCCAATACCTGCTGTCATAAGTATGCACATCAATTTTGTTTTTGATACAATCAATTATGGCTGACTGGCTGCCAATTTTTTTTTTTACCAGACGTAAATTTGGTCGAAATCATAATAATACCGGTACTTCGCAATTGGTTCTTATCGATGACTTGGACAATTTAAATTAAACTTGATATGGTGACAATACTTTACAGGTGCATATTAGTTCAGGTTCAAGATGGCCGACTAACAGCCATTTTTCATCTCTCCCTATATTCGTTTCTGTGGCATACAATAACAAATTCAAAGTTGGTACACAGATGCTATATCACAGAATACATATCTGAAGGGTTACCTCTAATTTTATTTTTTTTGATCTGATTGAATTTGGCCAACTGGCAGCCATTTTGGTAATAAAATCGTTACACCCTAAGACAGGCATATGCCCTTTACAATTACCTAGTAGGTCAACATTCAAACAAACATAGGTGAGAATTATCCTCGGCATTGTGGTAAGATGAACCTAGAGCCGTATCGATCTGATCTTGTATGTTTCAATCCCTATCAGTCTTCATAATCTGAGTTATATGGCATATTTGCAGACAATACTTGTCAAAACCTCTCCTTCATCTGTCAATCAAAATATAGTCACTTAGCTGGGTTTTGTGACATTTGCATGTTAATTTACTTAAGCAGACTCAACACTGACTAACTGAAGTGATTATAGTCAGAAAAAAAACACAGTAATCTTATTAGCAAAGAGGAATTATTTATGAAAAGAAGAAACAAATATTTCATTGCCAGAAAAGCAGTGTGTCTATGTTTTCAAAAAATGCTGATTCAATATGGATGAAAACATGTAATACTGCTGTTGGATGCTGTAGTTTGATAAAAACATTGGATTATGATTTATTGTCAACTAAGAACGCTATTCATTGAACATGCAGCTGAGTAATGGTTTAACTAAAAAATTAAAAATCACCATTCTACGCATGTACATGTACGCTGATTATTTTACCACGTACACATCCGTAGCAGTGTTTTTCATTTTTCAATAAACGATTATTATACATATATAGTGTGATGCAAAATCTACATTTTTAGTTTTTGTGAAATCATAATGTATTTTGTCGCCAACATAGCCTATGTAACACTGCATTGCCATTTCCACTACACCAATGCTGAATTTTAAATCCAAACTGATCACTATCCTGTAAACAATAAATACATTTTTTTTTGTATTTATAAATTATTGTGCCAAATCGTCTAATTTTTGGTGTCTTCAAATTTATCACGTCCAATTCATACAAATACATCCATGCTAGATCGTCAAATCTTATATGCCGTCAACTTTATTACATCCAGTTCATAAATACACATCCATGCCGGATCATCAAAACTTAAATGTCGTCAATTTTGTCACGTCCAATTACAAATTACATAAGCTGTCCATTGAGTTTTTTCCCCTTGCGTAAATAATTTGTTTACTAGTATACTGTTCATTCACCGGAGACATTCAGAACTGAAACATCATTCACCATTTGTAATTGTTTTGATATGGTACATTTCTCTGACTCTGATCTTTGACCTTTTATCGCATGCCTCGGCTTTAGTATCAGGGTCAAATTTTCCTCCAGTAGCTGCTGTGTACCTGAGATATGATTGGCTGACAAATTAATTGATTTGTATTGTTTTTGTCACTGTAATAACACACTCTGATCACCTGCTGAACACTTAACAAAAAATGTTATTATTTAGGTCCACAGGAGTTTTTCTCTATTCCTTTTTATTTAGATGTCTTATTGTCTCCTAATAGAGGTATTATATTTAATTTTTTTTTCTATTCTTACAGGATGGTCAAGTTTTGGAACTGTCACAGGTCAGCGATGTTCGCAAAGGGATTGCGAATAAGGTAAAAGTAAATAACCATTTTTGTTTGTTCATTCCTCTTTGAAAATCTTCCTCTTTTTGTCTTTCTCTTGGAGGGGGGGGGGGGTGAGATGGGCAACTTGAACATCACTTTACTTGTGTTTATGTTGAAAAACTGCAGGTATGCTATGAATTGAACTGTTGCTTAAAAAAAAACAGAGCTGAGGTTATGTGATTGTCATGCGTGGAATGATTCTTCACATTCCTCTGTCACTATAACATTAAATTAGACACTTCAGTATTTATTATAAGTTTAGTATAGCTTTAGTTTTTACGTTAGTGCTAGTCCCAGTTACCATTATCCCTACCATACATTACTGCTGGACTCCATTTAATTCTCTTTGGTATTAGGGATAAGACCTATGTTTATAAAGATATTTTTTTTCAAAATTATCACTCAAAAAATAAAACTGAATTTGTTATCACTCATGTGTTATACATTTTCTAGTTAGTTTATTCATGATCCCATGCTTAAATTTTTTGCCATAATCCTTTTTTATTACTGTTTTTTTTTTCACCTACTGGTATTTCAAGCATAGATTTCATATCACTGTTTTCCTATTATGACAACAATTTAAATTGCTCTAAGAACAAAAAAAAACATTCAAACAAAGCAAAAAATTATGAATCTCATTCTTAAGTAGTGTTTTCTGCAGACAGACTGACCAACCATTTTACTGCGCCGCAACAATGTTGGTTAATTATACATAGAAGTGTAACACCTTGTGCGGCACTCATCGAAGGCATACCAAAATATCGCATAAATACTGTGACCTATGACATGCTACATCAATTAGAAGACGTAAACGCATATCTTAAATACATTAATGCAAAAAATTTCAACATCATTTTGTTTATCTTGTTGTATATAATACGCCGTCACTCTGTCTGTTTGGAATTAGAATTTCTCCAGATACAAGTTTTTAAAAGCTTTGTATCAGTGATTATGACAGCTTGAATGTGATTTAATATATTATTGTTGGCAGCATAAAAGTGTCACGAGAAGAGTAATGCTATTTAAAATGTTTCAGGAACAAGCAACGCAATGCAGTGTAACGCAAGTCTGGTAAAAAATAAATAACCTATTCTTTTTAATCCTTTTGAATGCCAACATTTTGCACATTTTTAGAAAGTTTTCCATAATTTCATTGCTTCTTTCAGACAACATGGTATTGATCACAATTTTTGAAAAAAAATGAAAAAATTTATGCAGCTTTAATTTTGAGACAAAAAAAGTTGAGAAATAGATTGACAAAAGTTGACTTTGCCATTCTAGAGGTTAAGCTGCACATTCCTCATATCGAAATAAAATCCATCCTTATTACAGAAATTTAGCGAATTTTGACCTGTCAAGCCTTGCCAAAACAGGATTCCTTTATCTGTATGCAAATTAGCTCAATGATCACATGACACCTGCACTTTAGTGTATGTACCCTCTGGTTTGTTTACATCATAAAATGCGAATGTTGAACTAATTTTTCAAAAGAATGAAATAACGTAGCAGGCGGTGTGTGTTATTACAACAGTGCTAAAATAAATAACCGATAAGTAGGAGATAATAAGTGCTAAACAAACAAACACATGTATGTATGACACTGTAATATGAAATAATTTGACGCAGAAAGAAGTTGCTCGTTTGAGAGTCTAATATATAAAAAAAAAGGTGGTACTAAAAGACCTTAAATATGAATGGACAACAAAAGCACTACATATGTCTTTTTCCAACTGCGGAAAAGTTGAGCATGCGTGTGTCAAGCAAAGTTATGAATGAATGGTACCCGTAATCCTTTCAGCGACACACTGCACATTCTATGTATGAATTTTCTTTAAAATATGACAGCTGTTTTTCACAAAGACCATATTTACTGTGATTTTCAGTATTTATGTCAAAGCTCAGTTTAATAACCATGTTAAGATGCATTTTCTTTTTCATTATTCAAAGATTTAAATAATAAATAATAAAAAATAATACATGGTGAGTGCATTTTTGGTTGATAGCTGTACCCCCCCTGCTTTGAAAATTCATTGGTAAATCCACTGTACTTTCAATAATGAATATGTGCGTCTTCTGTCTGGAGGAAACAGACAACGCAAACACTTTGTGATCAATCCTGTCAAAGTGCTCTTATATATTTCATACTTAGTTGTAATAGATGCCGAAATTAAGAGCTATATTTGCATGTACGATTTAATTATCTTGCGCGTTAATCAAACGCCCCCTCACAGCGTCACTTCATTAAATCTACCGTCTCTTCCTCACCAGTTTATATTAACTGGCTACTAAAAGTTAATGCATCTTCACTCCATCTTTTAAAATCTCTAAGAATGGAGATGGTTTTAGCACCATAGACATTGGGTTCCTCTCACATTCAGTAATTGCGTTACTCTGTCTCAGATGTTTGGAAATTCCTGCACAGTAATGTACTAATCCACATAATGCTTAAAGTGCTTTTAATGGTATTCAGCGTTCTTGTCATGATTTTTTTTTTTTGCAAAGGGGAAGGAAGGAAGTACTTTGAAATGATGATAGATGCTGTATTTTTATCGCTGTGTCTAGATGTTGTCGATGAAGCTATTTATTGGAAGTGATGTAGTAATGTTATTTCCATGATTGTGTAGCATTATTGAGACTAAGAAAAAAAAATTACACTTCCGTTTTTCACCACATGAGGGCAGCTAAACATCCCTAAGAGGGGGCTTATCCTGTTCCAATTATTTCTGTTCAAAGAGAAGAACGTATAATCTTCAGATTCGTCTCCATAATTTCAGATTGATTTTTTTTTCAGGTTAGATTCTTGAAACACTTTTTTTTGGGGTGAGATCCATTATGGTATATGCGCATATGTAATTATGTTTCATGCTAATATGTAGCCATTACTCGTTAGTATGTCATACACTTATAATGAGGTTCACTTATTGCACTAAGCAATTACATGCAGTAGTTGAGTTTTGGAATTTTGACATACAAAATTTAGTTTCCCTTATTTCTTTGAAGAGCCAGTAAATGAGAGAAGAAGTGTCACATTTGTTTAAACATTTGTTGCATCACATTCACGAATTATTATGACTTTTGAAAAAACATAGCTTTTTTTGACATTCTTTCAAAAATTTCAACCAAGGACTGTTGCCAATAGAAAATTACATACATTTAGTCTGAAACTATTTTATTGATATAATAATGATCAAATGTCACATTGACATTTGGCGAGAACAACAAATTTTCTACACAACCTTGGAGTTTAATTCATGATGAGTAATGATAAAATTAGCCATCTATAAACTAAATCTTTGGTCCTATAATCTAGAAAATCGTTTGTTATACGTTGGAATTCTCAGGTGAGCCAAAATCTCATCAGCTGGCTTAATTTCTGTCCCAAAGATGCGCAAGAATAATCACACGTTCTCTTTGCTGAAATATTTGCATCCTTAATAACACTTAATAGGTACAGTACTGCCCTGAATAATAAAATAGCTTTTTGTGATTGAGATTGTCTTTCTGTGTTTCATTTTGTTGTGCGAAAATTGCATATTCTTCATAATTAATATAAAAAATATAAATTTCTAAAATTTACACAAATTTCACCTTTCACCTAAGTCACATTTTCTGCTAGAGTTCCTGTCTTTGTTGTCGCTAAGCAACTGCTCAGTACGAGGACATGGCATTGTCGTATGTCTTTTGACACAGTAATGGAAAAATACTTGACTTGCAATGACCGTTTCTGTTCCTCCTAGCAACTTTGCTTGAGGGTTGAAATCTCCCGCTAAGCAGCTTACAGTGGCAACAAGCTAGGACTACCCGGTAACTGTGAATGAAATTTTGTAGAATGATTTACACGATGGATTTCTAGATTTATTTTTTGCTGTCAGAGATAAATTATGTTATTACCGGTAACTTAAATTTTCAATCAAACTACAAATATGATTTAAAAAAAAAAATTAAAAAAAATGTTTGTAACCATTTTAAAAATTGTGTTAAAAGATATTTGTCCATCCAGCCACTCAATCTCCACCATAGTTTCTGAAGTACTGTAAAATACTTTATTTTCACTTGGAATTAATTTTCGCTATTTTTGCTGAAGGAATGATTCAGTGAAAGTAAAATCTAGTAAATATACCTTTTTTCCTATATTTTACCTTCAACTCGTCAAAAATCAGTGAAAATAAATTCCACACAAAACACCCAAAAAGTCTTTTCAGCGAAAATTAATTCCAGCTAAAATAAAGTATTTCACAGTACACGTATTATATTTTGCTTGTCCTCAAATTACAGTAGAATGTTATGTATTTGTTAAAGTTATCTCAAGTTTCCCTGTTGACAGTGGCATTTATTTTTCCCGGCCGGCTAGTAGCAGCATTTTCTGCAGAAATTGGCTCTCAAAATATCGCCCATATATTTTTTATTTTTTTTTCATCAAAGTTACTCATAAAGTACATGTCACTAAGGAATTTTAAAATCTAGGTTGCCTATTATGTTATTGTACTTTTTTTCTGTTTATTGGGTAGTCCCTGGGGGTGCTCGGTTGTATGTCCAATTTACATTATCATTTTTGCTCGCTAATTGGGTATACACAGTCATTGTCAGTGCCAGGTATCCTTGTTACAATCTGCTGTCGTTTTCATCTCTAAGTTATAAAAAATTGCAAGTTGTAAAAGGTCCCTTGGGTTTTTAAAGAGTACTGATAACATTTTTTCAGTCAGGGTGACATGCTATGCTTTTGTGTATTTTTAAAGACAAATTGAGTGAAAAAAAAAAAAAAAACTTGCGCACTCAAGATACTTCCGGTTAGAATGTTGCTTAGTGTCATGCTACATGTCAAAATGTTTATTATCTCCATTAGGCGTGTAGTCCCATGTCATCCTGTTGTAGATGTTGTATTTGATAACAATGAAAAGAATTGTTACTGTGGGTATTCCAGCTGGGGTGCTAAAATAACCCTTTTTAAATATGCGAGTGGCGCATAACTCTGCACCATAATTTTAACGTATGTC